TGGCATGACCATATGTCCATGATATATAGATATATAGAAAGAAAAAAATTCAGAAAGTTCCATACCAAAATGTTAACAGGGATGGTACCTCTCTAAATGAGAGGAGATCACAGTTACGATGTTGTTGGCTTTCTTTCTTTTTTTTTTTTTTTTGCCCATTTTCTTCATTTTCTATTTTTACATTGATGCTATTTTATGGTTATAGTCCAGAAAACTCTTGAAGGATTTTAAATTTGTGATGGGGGGGTGTTATTAAATTTTTATATGTGCTTCCTTAGAAGTTCGATAAACAAGATTCAGACTGTTTTTCTTTTGTTGTTGTTCTTTTTAGATATACAAGACGTAGAGTATTTTTAATATGCATACATGGAGTATGACTTATTCTAATTAGAATCCCATTCTTGTGGTTGTACATGGTGTGGAGTTGCATTGGTTGATGTTCATATATGAACTTAGGAAAGTTATGTCTGATTCATTCCACTGTCATTTCTATTCCCCCCATCCTTCCTCCCTTCTCTTCATCCCCTCTGTTTAATCCAATGAACTTCTATTCTTCCACACCCACCATTTATTGTGTGTTAGCATCCACATTATTGGAGATCATTTGGCCCTTGTTTTCTGGGGGGACTGGCTTATTTCACCTAGCATGATAGTCTCCAGTTCCATCCATTTACTAGCAAATGCCATAATTTCATTCTTCTTTATGCCTGAGTAATATTCCGTTGTGTCTATATACCATATTTTCTTCATCCATTCATCTGTTGAAGGGCACCTAGGTTGGTTCCACAGCTTTGTTATTGAGAATTGAGCTGCTATAAGCATTGATGTGTGGCTGCATCACTGTAGTATGCTGATTTAAAGATCTTTGAGTATTTACCGAGGAGAGGGATAACTGGGTCAAATGGTGGTTCTAATCTAAGTTTTCTGAGGAATCTCCATACTGCTTTCCAGAGTGGTTGTACCAATTTTCAGTCCCACCAGCAATGTATGAGTGTCCATTTTCCCCCACATCTTTGCCAACATTTATCATTACTTGTATTCTTGAATTGCCATTCTGACTGAAGTGAGATGGAATCTCAGTGTAGTTTTAATTTGCATTTCTTTAATTGCTACAGATGTTGAACATTTTTTCATATACTTGTTGACCATTCGTATTTCTTTAGCTGTGAAGTGCTTGTTCAGTTCTTTTGCCCATTTATTATTTACTTATTGGTGTTAAGAAGTTCTTTGAGTTCTTTGTATATCCTGGAGATACGTGGACCGCTTATCTCCTCTGTCCTTTATACTCTAGCTCTCACGGTACATCAACATGCTGCATAAACAACTCAATACAATTCTCGCTTTAAGTACGCATTGAATTTTAAAGAAATGCAAAGGAAAAGGAGTCTCATATTTACCCATATTTATTATTTATGGTGCATTTATTCCTTCCTGAGGACACTGGGGCTCTGTCTATAATTTTCAATATTCATTTTATTTCTATTATTCAAATTGAATAATTTATATTGATAAATCTTACAGTTCACTGATTCTTTTTTCTATAAGTGCAAAATTCTACAAGTCCATCCAGTGAATTTTTGATATTGTATTTTTTAGTTCTAGAGATTCCAATTTTAATAGTTCCTCACTGAGGTTTTCTATTTTTATTCATTACTAGTGTGTTTTCCTTTGGGGAAGGGCTAGAGCAGCTGATCTGAAGTCCTGGTCAGCTTACGGCTGTTCCTCTAACACAATGCAGTCTGCTGCTAACCACTGCACTCAGGGAGCATCACCATAAAGCAAGTTATGCAGATCTTGTTTTCCAATGTGTATAAAAGTTGTATTTATACTATGCTGTATTCTATGAAGTCTGCAAAAACATTGTGTCTAAAAGTGCACAAACCTTGATTTTAATATGCTTTATGGATAAAACAAGCTAACAGCCACCTGAGTCTTCAGCGGGCTATAACCTTTTTGCTGGTGGAGGGTCTCGTCTCTGTAGCTGGCTGCTGACTGGTCAGGGCAGTGGCCACTGAAGGTTGGGCTGGCTCTAGCGATTTCTTAAAATAAGACAGTAATAAAGTCTGCCCTGTTGATTGACTCTTCCTTTCCTGAAAGATTCCCCTGTGGCATGTGATGCTATTTAATAGCATTCTACCCACAGTAAAACTTCTTTCAGAACTGGAGTTGAGCTCTCAAATCCTGCCCTGGCTGCGTCAGCTAGGTTTATGTATCATTCTAAATCCTTTGTTGTCATCTCAACAATGCTCACAGTATCTTTGTACTAGTAGATTTCATCTTCAGAAACCTCTCTGCTCACCCATAAGCAGCAACCCCTCATCTGTGAAAATTTTACCATAATCACATGTTCAGGCTCCAGGGCTAATTCTGGTTCTCTAGCTATTCACTCCACCACATCTACAGCTACATCCTCCACTTAAGTCTTGAGCCCCTCAGAGCCAGACAGGAGTGTTTGAACCAACTTATTCCAAACTCCTATTATCTTGATATTTTGCCCTGTGCCCATGAACAATGAATGTTCTTAGTGCCACCTTTCCAGAAGGTTTTCAATCTACTTTGCCCAGATCCATCAGAGAAACTGCAGTCATTGGCAGCGATAGCCATTTGAACTGTATTAGCCATAAAACTTGAAATTACAATTACTCCTTGATCCATGGGTGAGTGCTATATTAGGGCATGAAGACATGTTAACCTCATTAATGTCCATTAGAGCTTAGGTGACCAGGTGTGTGGTCAGTGAGCAGTGTATTTTTGAAATGAATCTTTATTTTTTCCCTGACCAGTAAGCGTCAGTGGGTTTAAAAGATTCAGTAAACAATGTTGTAAACAGACATGTTGTCATCCAGGCTTTGTTGCTCCATTTACAGACAGCACAGGCAGGGGGCAGTCAGTATAATTCTTAAGGGCCCTTGGATTTTCAAATGGCAAATGAGCATTGGCTTTAGTGCCAAGCCACCAGCTGGGTCAGCCCCTAACAAGTGAATTAGTCTGTCCTCTGAAGCTTTAGAGCCAGGCATTGACTTTTCTCCACCTGTAAAATGTCCTAGATGGTACCTACATTGTTTCACTTAAGTCCACTGCTTGGCACAGCCACTACCGTGGGCCATGGAGAGACAGGAGAGGAGGTGGGATGGGGGGCAGGGACAGGGAAATGGCCAGTTGGTAGAGCAGTGTGAACACATATAAGTGTTATTGATTATAGAAGCTGGGCTTAGAGCTCAGTGATAGAGCACCTGTCCAGCAGGCACAAAGCCCTGGGCTCAGTCCTCAGCACCACACACAAAAAAAGATGTATTGATAAGTTCACCATCTTATATGGGCATGGGTCATGGTGCCCCAAAACAATTACAACAGTAACATCAAACGTCACTGATCACAAATCACCATGAAGTGTGAAATACTGTGAAATTTACCAAAATGTGACAGGGAGCATATGTTTACTGGAGCACGTGCTGTTGGGAAATGGCCCAGGCAGACTTGCTGATTTGTTGCCACAAACTTTCAATTTGTAAAAAAGAAAGAAAGAAAAAAAAAACTCAAAGAAGCAAAGAGCAATGGAAGGAGGCAGTCTGTCCACATATCTGGGGCAGTTCCAGATGGGTCTCTGCTGACTGTCTACTCTTCAGGGCTGGGCCATCCTTTTCTATTTCTTACCAGGTAAAGTAATTTTGGATTATACTCTGAACACTGCAGATGTCATCTTATGGAGCCAGTTCTGTTATGTTCCTTCAATAGACTACTGAGCTTTTTTGTCTTGTTTTGTAATAAGTAGTTAATCTAGCTGAATTCAAACTGTTAAGATATTTCTCCGTTATAGGGATTAGCTAAAATATCAATTATTTTAGTCATAGGTGAGTTTCTTAGGCTTCCTTGTTGTACATGTATTTCAAGGATAAGCCAGAAATTTGGAAAGAGTTTATACACAAATTCTGAGCTCTCCCACCCTGGGCTCTCTTCTCTGGGGCATCCCCTCACTTCTCAGAGGCAGAGGCTGCCTGGTTCGAGTTCTCTCATCTTAAGACCAAAGCCATTACATATTTCTACCAGATCCGCAACTCTCTACATGGAGCAAAGTGTACCCTGCCCTTATTTCAGCATCCTTTTTTGAGTAAAAAATTAAAAAGAAAAAGGAATTCACCATGCCCTTCTTTCAATGTTAAAAAAAAAACAGACTATTTCTTAGATCAGTTTTAGGTTCATAGAAAAACTGGCAGAAAATAGAGAATTTCCACAAACCTCCTGTGCTGATACTCAATCTCCTCCACCTACACCAGAATGGTGCATTTGCTACAATCGATGAGCCAAGACTGGCATATTATTATTACCCAGAATCCGTAGTTGACATTAGGGTTCACTCTTGGCGTTGTTCCTCTCACGAGTTCTGACAAATGCATGATAACAATGTGGCCTTCACGGTAGTATCACACAAAATAGTCTGTCCTAAACATCTCTGTGCTCCATCTGTCCCCTCCCTGCACCTAATCCCTGGAAACACTGTCACTTGCACTGCTGAAGAGTGTGCCTTTCCAGAATGATGAGCAGTTGTAATAACACAACAGGGACCTTCTCGGATTGGCATCTTTCACTTAGTGACATGCCTTCTTTCCACATTTGACACTCCCTCCCCAATGAACTGGGTTTGATCACTTTCCAATGTTTTTAGAGAATCATTTTGCCCAGAATTTATAGCTACTATCTGTGGGAAAGCTGATCTAATGTGAGTGATTCAACCATTAAGAGAAGAAGATTTAAATATAAATTGGCACCATTAACAGGAGTAAACAGACTTCTGATCACAGCCCAAGTCAGAGTGTATCTCAGATCAACCTGTACTTAGTGAATTTTAGGACTGGAGGTAGATCTTAATGGTCTTACTGTACCAACCAATAACAGATTTAACAATGGATCCTAAGTCCATTAACATATAATGAAATATCATTATTTCATTACTTAAAATGTACCATTAAAAAAAGATTCTGTTCTAAATATACATAACAAACCTGTCAAGGCTGTTTCACTTATAGATGTAATTTGCAGAAAAACTTCTCTTTTCAGTGAAGTCCAGTCTTGAAAATTATCATATATTTCATTTTTAATACTGGTTAGCTCCCTTTTAGTAAAAGTAAGTAATGAAAGAGTCTTATTCCAGAAATATTTGTACTCCGACAATCTTTGACTGCAAAGTAGTAAAATAAAAATTAGGATTTTTAAAAAAGTAAGAATAATAACAAATATTTCTTCAAAAAGTGGTTTTAGAGTGATCATATAATTGTCTAAATGGAGACAATTTTGAAAGTGAAAGGAGGTGTGATTCATGTCATACTGAGACAGATAAAAACTGGGAGTATCTCAGGTAGGCAGAAGTATATGGCCATGCCAACTCATTTCCACTTTGCTATAATTTTAACTACAAAGAAAGGTAATGACCTTCATGCATATTTATTCTATTAATTTTTTATTCAACAGCAAACATTTAGAAAAGAAAATGTGCTCAGGGCCATTTGGTCACAGAACCTGAAGGAGAACCCGGGACTCTGTGTGACAGTATTCTTCCCAGATTCACAGTCCCACAGGCAGCGTGAAACCTGAGGGCATAAGGGAACTTTTCAAGCTGACTGGCCCCAAGCTTGGCTTCATCAATTGCCACAACTCAAAATAATCACATGCTTTTTTTCATCCCAGTGGCTTCCGCTACTTCAGATACCCTGGCTAGGGTTCCTAACGAATCAAGTAAGGTGATGACTGAAGCCCCAAAGTGAAGTCACCGGCCAGTGTCCATGGTCCTGAGTAGACACAAAGGTCTGAGTGTAGAACCATCACCTGTCTTTCTTATTGATGGCGTAGCATCCAGAACGGTGCCTGACCACAGTCTGTGCCCAACAGTATGACAGAATGGAGGAGGGAGAAGTGCCAGGGACACACACTGGACAGCATGAACTGGTAAGCAACTGAAACAGAAGATCTGCCAGAGGAGACTCAGGACCAACCAGTGAGTCAGAAGGAAGACCCAAGGAATGGGGCAGAAGAGGCAACATACTTCTAGAAGAAAGCAGGGGCCAGCCCTACGGCCTCCGACAGAGGCTGGGCAGTTCACTGTGGTGAATATTAAGGAGACAGCTGATGACCTCAGAGAGGCATGAGGCAGGCAGGGTTGAGCCATAAGCAGAAGCAGGAAAACAGCCTGTGGCACCAGCTGTCAAGATCTTGACCAGGAGGGAGGAGGGCAAGAAGGAGCTGCATCACGGAATGATGTGTCAGGACGAGGAGAGTCAGTGTGGTACAGGCACACAGGCTAAAGCCCAGCAAAGGGGGATCACTTCAAGGAAGGACAGACAGAACGGAGGCTGAAGGAGGATGGTGTGCTCCATCCAGCTGACCAGAGCCTCAGGGATGACACCCTTCCTCCCCCGCCAAGTTCGGCATGGTCAAGACAGATACTGGCTTCAGAGGGCAGAGAAAGCATCAAAACAGGGAGCCAAAGGGAAGGGGAGCCTGAATTCAGCAAGACTAATGCCAAGGCGGGGGGAGAAGATGGGGGAACAAGGGCAGAGCCAAGTGGAGGCCACGCTGCACACAAGGGCATCAGGGCCAAGGGCAAATTAAGAGAAGGGAAGACTGGTGTGGGTGGGGGTGCCTCTGCAAGGGGAGGTGAGAACAAGGCTCAGCTCATCAACCAAGAGGTCCAACTGTGAAGGGCCTGAACCCACATGGTTTTCCTGGGGAAAAGGCACTAAAACGATAACTACAAAATTAGGTTTCAATTATTTATATGTAATTATTTATACAATGAGAAAAATCACTATAAATAAAAATTTTTAAATTGATAAATTTCACTAATGTTATAAAATACAAGAAAAGAATGTACCTTTTAAAATGCCCTACAACACTTTTTGCTTATGTTTTTAGCCATAAGCTCCATAAATGGCTCAAAAAATGAATTCTTTTTGAATGCTACTGTAAGTGGTGAGGACAGAGACCACATAGCCTTGCCACTGGCCTGGCCACGGGATGGCTTGTGGTTTTAGTAATAGTAGTTTAGAAAGATCTTTTGGCTTCAAAGATTATTAGTAATGCTACATAAGTATTTAGTGTTGTCAAATTTGGGGAAATCCTCATCAATTTTTTATATACAATTATAAGCCTTTTGTCGTTTCAGGTTTCTTCAAAAGTGACTAATCTTAAATTTTCTTTAAAATAACAAGATTCATGAGCCACTTTATCTTGATGTCACCTTGGAAATAGTACACTATGATTTTTGCATTCAGTATGTTAGAAGCTGTTGTCAAATTAGCAGAAAACAAACCTTTCTCCAATGAATTTGAATAATTAACTTCTCTTCACTGGATTATCAAATAATCCAAGAACTTTTATTGAAAATTTATCACTTTGATATAATCTGAAAAATTATTATGATTTGGTTTATGCCAGAAATTTTTCTATTGTTTAAATTGCTCTACATTGCTTTTACTTTATTAATTTTAAAAAATTCATATGCATCCAAATTTTTTGTCTGCAATTTTTTGCTTGTTTTATTGAAGCTATTCTAAAATATCTTTCCAAATGGCAGTTATAATGGTGTGCTCCCAAGTCACCTCTCCCTTACTGAAACCCCCATGCCTGTCACTACTGACATCAGAAGTAGGACAGAGGGGAGAGCAGGGTGGAGGCAGAATATTTAAATGACTGGAATCTAATCATCTTAGTTCATCCTGGACTCCCAGGACCTTAGAAGGAAGACTTGAGTGAGAGTTTTGAACCTGAAGCATCATCTGATTCATCAATCTGTCTCAGTCGGCAACCTTCTCTGTGTAATAACAGGCAGACACACACATCTAAACGGGGCTGATGAGCCTCAGGGAAACAGTGAGGATTCTTCACTGAGGACCGGGGGCTTACTGGAGGCAGGTGTCAAGACTGAGGATTTTAAGGATAAGGACAATTGAATAAGTAGAGGTAAAAGGGCTTGGAGAACTAGGAGCCTCCTGTATATAGAAAAACCTAATTCCCCCACCAACCAAACACACACTAGAACCAGAAAACAACCTCATCAAGGTTGCAAGGCGCAAGCTGCACATGCAGAAAAAAGCAATTTTATTTCTGTATGTTAGCAATAACAAATCCCCAAATAAAATTAGAAAATAGGGAAACAGTTGCATTTATAGTAACACAAGAATAAAACATTAAAAATAAATGTAGGGGGGCTGGGGCTGTAGCTCAGTGGTAGAGCACTTGCCTTGCATGTGTGAGGCCCTGGGTTCAATCCCCAGCACCACATAAAAATAAACAAAGATATTGTGTCCAACTACTACTAAAAAAAAAAAAAATTAATTAAAAAAAATTGTAGGGGCTGGGGCTAGGGCTGAGCAGTAGAGTACTCGTGTCACATGTGTGAGGCCCTGGGTTCGATCCACAGCACCATATAAATAAAATAAAAAGATATTGTATCCATCTACAACTAAAAAATATTTTTAAAAAGTTAGAAATATGCTAATGATGAAAATAAGATAGTTAAAAAAAAGAAAAAAATAAATGTAATAAGAGAAATATAAAAAAATAGAACATTTCAGAGAGAAATAAAGACCTCCACAGCAATAGATAACATCTATTAAATAAAATATCCAGTACTTTAAAGATGGCAATTCTACACAATTGAATTGATCACCAAACTTACTGAAGAGACTGCCAGGCTGACCCTATGTGCAGATGAAGTGCAAGGGAGAGGGGAATGCACCCGTGAAAACAAGAAAGCTGCAAGACTTACAGCTCCTGTTTCCAGGTGCACTGAGGCTAGCGTTCAGAGAGGGAGCACTGACACAGAAACAACACAGTGCAGGGAGGTGTCCTCTCCGTTCACAGTGAGCTGATTTTGGCTAAAGATGTCCATGCAGCCCAACAGTTCAAGAAGAGTCTATTGACAGTGGTGCTGGAAAGACTGAATATCCACATAAGAAAAAGATGAGTTCAGATTCTTGCCTCATATACAAAGTTAATTCAAATGGATCCTAGACCTAAATGTAAGAGCTGAAACAACAGAACTTTAGAAGAACTTATAGGAGAACAATGTTTGTGACTTTTGCTTAGGCAGTTCAATATATCACCAAGGTGTAGTACACAAAAGAAAACAGAAGTTATATTTCATCAAAAACAAAACTTTTGCTCTTCAAAAGCACCACTAAGAAAGTGAAAAGATAAGTCACAGATGGGGAGAAACTAACTGCAAATCATTTTTCACAGACAGGACTTTTACCCAGAACACACCAAGAACTCGTCCAGAACCATCACCAGGAAACAAGCAAACTGAAAAATGGACAAAATATTTAAGTAGATATTTCATCAACTAAGATACACCAATGGTTAATAAGCTATCAAACAATGCTCAGCATCACCAGTCAAGAAGAAAACAAATGGAATCCCCATGAGATGCTATTTCTCGTTGTAATTGCATTGTAATCCACAAGACAGACAACAGCAAGTGTTGCTGAGAACCCTCATTCCTGGTGGGACTATAACTGTGTAGCCACTTCTGAAACAGTCTGGCAGTTTCTTAAAAAGCTAAATATAAGTTAACCATAAGACTCAGTAATTCTGTACTTAGACATCTACCCCCCAAAAATGAAAACTTACATCCACAGAGATTTGTAGGTGAATTTTTATTTCACCATTATTCATAAGCATCAGCATGTGGACACAATCCAAATGCCTGCTGATGTAAAATGGTAGATAAATGTGGCATATCCATGCAATGGAATACTATTTAGCAATAAAAAGGGAAATCACTGATAAATGCCACAACATAGATAAATCTCAAAAAAAAATTACTAGTGAAAGAAGCCAATGTAAAAGACCACATACCATATGATTCTATACATCTTAAATGTCCAGAAAAATACAATTTTATAGGAACAGGAAAGTTAGTGATTACCTAGGACAGGGGCGGGGGGGGGAGGGGTTGGGGGGACTAAGAACAGAGATATAAATGGCAGGAGTCTTTCTTTGGGGTGATTCAAATGTTCTAATATTGGTAACAGCTGTACAACTCTGTGGACTTAATAAACATTATTAAATTGTCCACTTAAAATGGGTCGATTTTGTGGTATATATATTATATCTCAAGATATAATATATATGTTATATATAATATATATATGTTATATATATAACATATTTTATATATATAACATATATATAAATATGTATATAATATATATGTTATATATATGTTTTTTAAAAGATGCGGGGCAGGCTGGGATTGTGGCTCCATGGTAGAGTGCTTGCCTTTCACATGTGAGATACTGGGTTTGATCCTCAGCACCACATAAAAATAAATACAAATAAAGATATTGTGTCCATCTACAACTAAAACAATATTTTTAAAAAAGATGCAGGGTAATAAACTATGGGATCAAGGTTAGAAAACAAACCAAAAAAGCCACAACATGGTTTGGAAAATGAGAAAAAATACATGAAGTCTTAACAAGACTGAAGAATTGAAGGAAAAGCGAGAGAGCTTGGAGTTGGCATTGAACATTGAAGAGATGACAGAGCCCAGATTTCAAATCAAAAAATTAAAGACACAATTAACTTATGAAAGATTTTCAACAAGAGTCTCTAAAAGTATGCACTGCCGGAAAGTTTCAACTATGGCCTCAGTGGACAGTGGATCCACACAACGACACAGGAGGTGCAGGGTACCTGATATCCATGGTTTAGTATCTAGCTGCAGGCCTTCTCAAGCTGTTTGTCATTCTCAAAAGCAAGTCTATGTGGACAGTGGACGCACAGAGCCCACAGGGCCTACTCTCTCTGCTTCTCCTCACTGCTGCAAGAGCAGGGCTGTGAACCAGGACAGCCTGGAGAAGACTTTGCTGGAGGCGATTAACAAATGAGAGAAGCCTCTAAAGAGAGCACTGTGACCCCAACACAGATGACTGATTTGATCCAAGTTCCTTGAGAATTCATGAAAGAGGTGATCACCACTGAGGGAAGAGCTCAGCATTCTTTCCCTTGCCTGTTTCAGAAAGATTACAATTATGGCTCCTTTTCTTTATCAGAACAATCACCAAGTTTCATGTTCTAACAGATATTTTTAAATGATCATAAACTAATTTAAAATCAGCTTTTAATGTGCAATAAAAGTCACTGAAATTTACCACCTTTGGTTAGTTTTATTTTTACAGTATGCCTTTTCCTATGCATGCATCTATCAATGAAAATATAAATAAAACCACTAATTATCTGCATTCTTTAACACAAACTTTTATTTGTACTAAATGTCTAGCTGGATGATTATTCCAAACTTGTTTTTAGCATGTACTATTTTTTTATATATCAGATCCCAGACTCCCAATATGTGACAACTTTTTGGCTAAAAATAAACAAAAATCACAGATCTATAGAAAACATGTGAATGAACTAAGCAGTTAAAAGTATAACTCTGCTGGGGACAGAGCAATGCCCAGGGTTCAATCCCCAGTACTGTTAAAAAATAAAATAAAATATAAAATGAAATAACTTTACTTGAAGTATGTTATGTCTAACTTTCAAGAACTATACAAATGTGAATAATGAGGATCACTTGTACCTGTTCTACAATATCTTGAAGCCACAGTGATAATGTCATGTACTCCTGGTCCAACCTTCAAACGTAGGGGGTCCCACCATCCATGATGGCACTAGTGGTTAAAACAGCCGGTTTATCCATGACATACCTAGGTGGCCCAGAGTTCATGTAGGAGCCAAGAATGGATACCAATGGTCCTGAATAAAATAGGAGAAGTGTGGCCACCTGGACAGTACTATCCTGCTGGCTCACTACCAGATTTCTATAAAAGGCTAAAGGGATTTTTTTCTTTCTTTCTTTTTTGTTTTGGTTTTGGTACTAGGGATTGAGCCCAGGGATGCTTAACCACTGAGCCCTATTCTCATCCCTTTTTATATTTTATTTAGAGACAGGATCTCACTGAGTTCCTTAGGGCCTAATTAAGTTGCTGAGGCTGGCTTTGAACTTGCAATACTCCTGCTTCAGCCTCCTGAGCTGTTGGGATTACAGGCATGAACCAAAAAAACGGATTTTTGATGACAAAAATAGGCATCTGTGTTCTAAGTAGATTTCACTCATTCATCCATTCCTTCAAAAATTACTTACTGTGCCTCAGTTATGTGCAAAGCATTTATGAAAGGTAGATGGCCAGGAGTTTATTACCAAATAATGCATTAAAAAAACACTAGCCCAGTGAATTTTATTAACAGAATGTTTCTGGTAATAATTAATAGATTAAGAACAAAAACCTAACATTCAAAATATCCAGCATGATTTTACTTATCCTGAATCTGTATCACTTGCCATGTTAATTTAATGTGTTTTGAGCTAAAAGTTACTCAAAATGCAAAAGGAATCATTCTTTCTCATTAATGTTCTCAATATAGTCAATGCTGCTTTCACTTATTTATTATTTCTATTTACACTGGGGGATGGAACTGATGGGTGCTCTCCCCTGTACACTCCCACCCCTTCTTATTTTGTTTTTGAGACAGGGTCTCACTAAGTCGCTGAGACCAGCCTCAAATTTGCAATCCTCCTGTCTCAGACTCCTAAATTGCAGGGATTAGAGGCAGGTGCCAGCATGCCCAGCTTCAGTGTAATTTTTAAGAAAAAAATGTACTCAGTACTTTGTTTAGAACATTGTATTTTATCTAAACAGCATATAAATCTGGGAGCGGTGGCACATGCCTGAAATTCCAGCAGCTCAGAAGGGTGAGGTAGGAGGATCTTGAGTTCATAGCCAGCCTCAGCAACTTAGGGAGGTCCTAAGCAACTCTGCAAAAGTATTTCTCTAAATAAAATATAAAAAGAGAACTAAGATGTGGCTCAGAGGTTAAGCACCCCTGGATTCAATGCTCAGTACAAAAAAAAAAAAAAAAGGACTATGTGTGTGTTACACTCCTGTAACTGCCCTAACCCTTTCCCTCTTCTCATCTTCCAGATAGATAGATAGATAGATAGATAGATAGATAGAAAGAAAGATAGTTAGATAGATCTTCAGAAAGAACAACATTTATGTTAGAGACTCCTAACTTTGGGAGGTTTAGTATTAATATTTAGCAAGTTATCCTATTCTGTCACATTTTACCGGAGATCAAATACACCAGGGAACACTGATCAAAAGAAATAAAGTAGCTACTGTGTTTTTATTTTATATGTCACTACAAAATAAGAAAAACAAAGTGTTTGCCCAATTTAAATTTTATTAGTGAAACTATTCAGTTGCTATATGGTTCCAAAAAAAAAAAAAAGCAAAGCTATTTGCGTTTTTCTAAATCATACCAGATACACAAATCATAATACTAAAATATATTTAAATTTTCATAATAAAGTTAGTATTAAATGTATCTTTTAAATTTTTATCATTTTCAACTCTTTAAGTATGATCTTACCTGAAGACTTGTGATAGTCTAATTTTGATTTTTAATTCATGTTGCAAATGACTCAGTTCTTTATGTACTCTTTGATATTCAGTTTGTTGACTTTTTAGCTGTATGCTTGCATCCCGAATTCTAAAAATATAAACAAATAACATCTGTTATAACCTTAAATAGTCCCAAGTGAAAACTGTTTTAAATTAAAATATAAATATACTTTTAATAAAAACAAGTAGAAGAAAAAGATGCATCTTTATACATACTCTATAAATGTACAGAAAAAAAATATGGAGAGAAACTTGCCAACCAGCCAAGATTCCTGGATGGAAAGTGGAACTTATAGGTGGACAAAAAGAGAAAGAATGAGTGGGCTGAGGTTGTGGCTCAGTGGTAGAACACTTGTCTAGCATGTGTGAGGCACTGGGTTCGATCCTCAGCACCACATGTAAATAAAAAAAATAAAGGTCCATCAACAACTAATAAAAATATTAAAAAAAGAGAGAGAGAGAATGAGGAAGAAAAGTAGAACTTTTACTCTATGTGCTTTTGTACTATTCAAATTTTCAGAGATCATGTTTTCATAAATATTAATTAAAATATAAAGTATTAAGTATTTTGTTAAAGTAATTTAAATTTAAAATGTCATAATGGGGGCTGGGATTGTGGCTCAGTGGTGGAGCACTGGCCTAGCATGGGCAGGACCCTGGTTCAATCCTCAGCACCACATTAAAAATAAAGGCATTGTGTTGTGTCCATCTACACCTAAAAAATAAATATTAAAAAATAAAATAAAATAAAAAATAAAATGTCACAATGATTTTAAATGTCTATCATTACTAAAAAGGTCATAAGAAAAAATAGCAATTATTTGCCTTTACCCAGTTCCCACTGCCAGTGGCAATCACTTTCAATTTTTTTTTCCTGGTTTAAGATCCAGTTCTGCTATATATAACTAAGACTGGAATCTTACTGCACACACACATAATCTCACAAAGGACAAGTCCCTTGGCAGCCAGTGTGATGCTGACGTGATAGCTTACATTTACAATGTACCAAGTCCATGCTCCACCCTCTATTCCCATGGACCTCCATGGAGGAAGAAGCTCCAGCGCTTTCATTCCCATTCCAGATGATCAGCAGGAAAATAGTGGCTTACTCCATACACTACAAGATCCTCAGCACCACATATACTGAATACTGCTGCAGAATTTAGTCATGTGGCCTCACCTAGACTTGAGTGAAATAAAGCTGGGACACACTGTTCATTACAGGAAGATGAGCCCACAAGTGTATTCACAGTCCTGTTACTAAAATGGGATGGAAAACAAATGTTAGGGTTGGTGGCTAATAAAAACTGATCCCCCTACTCTCAACTACACACCTGTACCTGCCCTTACCATACCCCTCCTCTCATCTTCCCAAGATTCAATCCATCATTTTTATTAAAGAACTTATTAAAACACTGTTCTTCATTGGTTAACTAACATTATGTCATGATTATATTTATATTCTTATACAACTTTTTGCAATTAAAAATGGTATTTGCTGGTAAATGGATGAAACTGGAGATTATCATGTTAAGTGAAATAAGCCAATCCCAAAAAACCAAAGGCTGAATGTTCTCTCTAATATGCAGATGCTGACTCACAATAGGCAGCGGGGAGGAGGGGTGGAGGTTCACTGGATTGAACAGAGGGGAAAGCGGGGAAAAGAGTGGGGATGGGAATGGAAAAGACAGTGAATGAACAGGACTTAACTTTTCTATGTTCACATATGAATACATAACCAGTGTAACTCCACAAGAATGGGAAGCTATACTCCATGTATGTGTGATATGTCAAATGCATTCTACTGTCATGTATAATTAAAAAGAACAAAAAAAAATTTTAACAGTCTTTTCTTCTTTCTTAGTGTTATGTATCTATCAAGGCTTCTTAACATGCTAAACTGGGAGAAGCTGTTTTTGCAACTCTGTGTAAGTCTAAAATTATTATAAAATAAAAAGTTATAAAAAGGATGATTCCTACATATACAATGAGTGATTTGTGTAAGTATAACATGTCCATTATTTTAAATATAGAAGTTATCAATATTGGGGGCTGGGGTTACGGCTCAGAGGTAGGGCACTCGCCTAGCATGCGTGAGGCACTGGGTTCAATCCTCAGCACCACATAAAAATAAAATAAAGATACTGTGTCCACCTGTAACTAAAAATAAATGTTAAAAAATTATTAATATTGTTTCAACAGAAAAAATAAAAGGAAATAACCTTCCTGGCCAATCTTAGATGAACAACAATAAAAAAATTATAGTCCTGTGGAATATTATATACAAAATATTATATACAAAAGAGGAATGAAGCAGATCCCTATGTCCTGGCCTGGGAAGCATGGCAAAACTTCTCATTAAGGAGAGAAAAAAGCAAACTGCAACGTACTGTAACTTATAGATCAATAAGCACAACATGAAACCAAGTTCTATGTATACATTCATACATTTAAAATTTTAGAAAACAGGAACAACCTTAGCAATGTTAAGTCAGAGTTACCCTTAGGACATCATACCAATTGGGTGGGAAGGAGGTTCAAAGGGCCTATAGTATTTGCCACAATATTTGAAATACTTTACAATGAAGATATATTTATGTGTTGCTTGAAAATCTAAAATCAGAATTTTTTAAAAAACCTACATGGAGTCAGGCACAGTGCCATATACCTGTAATCCCAGCAGCACAGGAGGCTAAGGATGGGGGGATCACAAATTTGAGGCCAGTCTCAGCAACTTTAGAAAAGCCCTAAGCAACTTAGTAAGACACGGTCTCAAAATAAAAAATAAAAAGGGCTGGGGATGTGGCTCAGTGGTTGAACACCCTTGGGTTCAATCCCAGTACAAAAAACAAACAAACAAAAAAACAAACAACCCTATCTGGTCTTATTGTTTGTGTATAAGCATGTCTCAGGTTTATAAATGGGAAAATATCTAGAAATATTAGAAAGAAACTTAAGTTTATATAGTAGCACATTGGTGAATAATAAGCTGTTTTAAGGTAAGTATTAAACATTCCTTGATATTGCCCTACTCCAGGGCTGGGGTACAGCTCAGTGGTGGAGCACCTGCCTAGCAGGTTCCAGGCCCTGTTAGCTGGGTGTGGTGGCACATGTCTGCAGACCCAGCCACTCAGGATTGAGGCCAATCTTGAGACCTTGTCTCAAAAAACAAAACATCTAAATAATAGCCTATTCCAACTATTATGAGTTTTCAGTTTGTATTTTTACAAAACACTTTTCTTTTTGTCATTAGAAAAATGCACACTAAGACACTTTCCAAGGTCCATCTTTGAAGACATTTTCGGAATGAAGGTCAGGCCTGAGTAACACCCCAGCCCTCTGACTACAGTCCTGAGAAGCTTGATCACCTGGCCTCTGTGTTGGCTATGGTAGCATACTTGCTTTCTTCATATCGAATACTAGCATGGTTACAAACTACATGAGCAGAGAAGCAGCAGTGTCCACCTCGACTGTATGTATCAGGTCGGCTTTATGAAGTAAACAGTTCACAGAATGCTGCAATACGGTATGTGCTGTGCAAGCCACAGCTTTCTCTGAGCAGTCATGATTTTGCACAGAGTTTGAACGCTTTGTTGACGTGAGGACATGATGTTGTCTAGTCAGGCACTGTTCCTGAAAACTGTGAGACTAACAGCATGTTCCAGTGGAGAGTCCTGTACTGGAGTGAGATGACCTGTACTGTAAGCCTCTTGCCAATGCAGCTATGAGAACAGCACATTTATTACTCTTATCTATTTCCCAGTTTTTCTTAGTCAACTTGATTAAAATAGATTGTGAGAATTTCTGAGTTGTAAAACAAAGGAGGGGAATGTATTATCAAGCCTTTTAAATCATTTTCATTTTCATTATCTATTCATATTACTCATAATGAAATTATTCTAAAGAAAAACATTTTAACATCAAATATTAGGGAAAAAAAGATGATCCCATCATTAGGTATCTTAATCTATTAGGCACCTGTAATCTATGCTCTTTTTTTGTCAAACTCGGGGGTGTAAGTATTAATTTGTTTTTAGTCTTTCCTTCAGACTGGTTTTGCAGCAATCAAAGATGAGAGATGGAAGTTCAAAGTCTGGAAAAATGATGTGGGAGACATTCAGGCTTGCATTCTACCAAGGTCTCACAGGCGCAGGCATCCAAGTATCAAGGGAAAGTTAGGAGCGCAACAAAGAAATCAATCAAAACAAGCAGGTACTTCAGTTGCTGGGAAATAAACTTCAGAAACCCACATACATCTGCCCATGAGGACAAGCCGCTCTCTAACTGCTCCCCTGGAGTTAACCACCGCCTGAGGACAGTGAGAAAAGTGAATTCTGAGTCAAGAGAATAGAGGATGCGGTGGCGAGTCCAAGTCCTACATTGAGAGAAATCACTTAGGGTTCAATAAAACTGGAAGGAACTCTTATTCAGCAGAGAAGACATGAGTGGAAACCAGGCTGCTTTAGCTGTTTTCACAAAAGCTACTGCAGCTTCAGAAATACCAGCAGGAGCAAGCACTGGACCAAGAATGTCACTGACATATGAGCCTATGGGACATCAATAATTTTTAAAACAAAATTATCTGTAAATACAAATACTCAATTTCCTTAGGAGTGGTATTACCTTGCTTTTATTTAGAAAATTGGTGTGACATTCAAAATTCCTACAAAATTCTTAGTTACTAAACTATATCCTTTTGTTAGGACAGTCTTAATTTTATACCAGTCATTCTCCTTTATGTACATTATTAATGCACTGAAAGTACCCAAAAAGGTAGGAGAAAGGTACCTTGCACTAGACAAAATCAACACTGCTTTTTAAATTAACCTCATGTAATTAATTTCATTGGAGCTTTATTTGGTCTTTGATTATTCACTTACTTTCCTCTGGTCTCTTTAATATGCAGATATTCAATTAAAATAACAGATCTTTCTTTGATTAAATATAATATTCTTCAGTTTCATTAACACAGAAGCAGAAGTTAAAAATATTAACTCTAGGGCTGGGGCTGGGGTTCAGTGGTACAGCGCTTGCCTGGCATGTGTGAGGCACTGAGTTTGATTCTCAGCACTGCATATAAATAAAGGT